AAAGCAGGTTTATTTGAAACAAGAACACGGGGGGGGGGGGGGGGCTAGGAAACCAGATGGTCAATCTGCATTTTTACTGCCACCGGTCACCTGCTAAGGTGCTGTATATATTCCTGCGGCCATGATGCGTTGCGGCAAAACATATACAGCATATTGCATTGGGCAGGCTGTGCCGCTTGCTATATGCTAAACAATATCCCCAATGGGATTAAATAAAATCTACATTCAGGATTTGTATCGCCACCTGAACACAGGGCAGCTGCTGCTCCACCGTTCCCTGAAAAGCGATTCACCGTGGATCCCTTTTCAGAGGGTGGTGGAGGCTGTTGCTCGTGTGAACTCAGCCTGTTACCTTCTCTATCCAAAGCAAAAAAGTTTTGGAAACAACAATAATAATGTTAATACTGCCCATTGTAGCCATTTTTTAGTATGTGCTTCTTCCTGTGTGTCAGATACAGATACTCTAAAGTTAAACAGGGAGGGTGAAACACCCGTGTATTACCTCAGGCAGCCAGTGGTGTTCCGTAAGACCGCAGAGCACTGAAACTTCACTTTATGATCATCGTCAAAAGAAGAATTATTCAGGCCGGAATGTGGAACGATCACAGTGTTTGTGAGAGGAGACAGAGCTTCACGGATAATAGTCATCTTTACAGCGTCGCAGGATGATAAGTTCCACAGAACTCCTGAAAGCACAGAGCACAGACTCCATAAAACACTGACACAGGGAGAATACACAGCACTCTTCTAGACTGCGAATAAGACCAGCCAGCCAGCGACTACACTCTTGGAACACAGATAAAACAGAACACAATACAGCATAATGGAAGTTATACTTCCATAACAAGTGGAGTAGGCGTTAGAGCTTTACCCTTTTGATTATTCAGCCCTCAAAACACCGTCAGCCAAAATTGCATTGTTTAAAGTATATCTATGGGCAAAAGTAAAGGTGACATATGAAGCATTACCTGTTGATCCCAAAACCATCCATGGAAAAATGAGTTCCATGATTTTTTTTATTTTAGGTAAATTAGATCACATTTCTGGTGCCTAAATGTACCTTAAATCTACATTAGACAAATGATTGTTAGGGCTTGAGCTTTGTATTGTGTTTTTGTGTGTGTGTGTCTGTGTGTTTTAGTCATTACAACTGGAGATACAGTTAAGTCGAAGGTTAATGTTAAACTGACAGAACTCCAATGCAGGCATGGCTTTCATAGGATTTTCAAAGATAAATTAAAACTGGATCCAATCTCCCCATGTAGTAACACCAAGGGGGTCCCTCCCTTCTTCACTGACTGATGCAATTTAACATTTAGGGCCCATTCACACCAGTTGCGTTGCAATACGTTTTTTAATAAATGCGTATAGAGGGGCACCGAAAAATGAATGGGGCTAGTTCACAGCGCTACGTTCCATTGTTATGTTGCGCTGAAGAAAAAAAAAGTACATGCACTACTTTTTTTCAGCACAAGGTAACGCATTTCATCTGGTGTGAACTAGCCCCATTCATCTTTCGGTGCCCTTCTGTTAGCATCCATTAAAAAAACAAATCGCAATGCAACAGATTGGAAGGAAATCGGTAGGTACAATTGCAAGACAACAGACCCTCCATTGACTCGGAATTTCCTTTGGAGTTTCGTGTGAATGGACCATTAGTCTGCAATTCCACCTGCAGGAGAAACCTGGTATCATGAACAGATATATTTGCTGGAGCATGAGGTGATTTAGGACCTACATACACTGGCGTGGTATCATTCAACCCAGTCATAAGCATGGCATCTTAAAGTACTAAATACATCATTTCTGTGTCCTAGGGTCATATCAATATGCTGCAGCAAATGTTTAGAAAGTACAACACCCAGCATTTTACCTTATTAGGGCCCCTTGGAAATGAATGGAAGCACATAAAAACTTGAGGTATATTATCAATGTAGGTGCCTGAAAACAAAAAAAACAGAACCGCAAGCAGTTTCCATGTGCTTGGCCAAGCACATTTAGAGCTTGTGTCAATGGGAATGCCAAAGCAGCCTTAGGCCCCTTTCAAACGGGCTGATCAGAATGGAATCCGTGCTCTGTTCCATTTGTTTTTCTGAATTTGTCCAAAGGCAAGGGTAATTGGGTGTAAACGGATGTCTGTTTACACATAGCTGCCCCTAGCACTGGGCGTCCGATTGGGTCTGCCTGAAAAACTAACAGGTGGTCTGGATTGGACCGCCCGTGTGATAGGGGCCTAAAGCAGGTCAATGCAGCCTAGGAGGTATACTGCAGGTCAAACGAAACTTGTCAACAAACTGAACTACCTTCAGAATGTTTCATACTGATCCTAAATGCAAGTGGAATGCACCTTAAAACAAGCTGCACTTGATCATCTGCACAAACTCGAACACAAGGATGGAGGTTTTGCGGTTTAAAAGGTTGAGGTGTACAGGAGGTAACTGATTATTCTGTATGCAGGTCTCCAAAAGTTCTACCCTTAAAATCTTCCTCATTGCCGTCTATTTAAACTGGAAAAGATGTAAGGCGGTTGCTTGTATAAGAACAAACTTTATGATAAAAGAAAAAAATATAATTAGGCAATTTCATTAGGAAGACGCAGATCTGTAATAAGATTCTGTTTACTGCAACAGAAAAGCTAATTGCTGTTTTTCTTTCCCTGTGTTAAAAATGTAAAAAGCAACATTAGCTCTGGAATCTGCAATGCAGTTTTCTGTTGTCAGGACAATATTACAGAACTTCTGAAAAATACAGCAAGAGGTTTGACTGAGAAACAAACCTGTTGACTCTGCTTCTTCAATGGTCCAAAAACTGATTGCCCATCCAAAGAAGGGCACATTATTTACTTGTGATAAAGTCAAAGCAGACATTTTTGTAAGGCCAAGTGTTAATGGAATTACAGTCTGCACGACACAAGGCTGACCACTTTTTTTTTTTGTGCAAAATTATGAAGAAAGTAGCAGGACTGGGATTCTGCAGCAGTACATTTGGGTGGCAGCGTGGGGATGTTGGAGTGCCAGAAACTTAAGTGTGGAGGAAAGTCCAAAAAGGAACCTGGTGGGTAATTTTGTTCTTTTGAACTTGAAAGTGGTTTGCAAAATCATAAATTTGACAAGGCTATCTACAAGCTATCAATGGTGATTAATATTAGCACGCAGCTCATCAAAGATGGCTGAAGGACTATGGCAAAACAGATTATTAAACTGAAGCTCCCCAAATTATTATTATACAGGATTTATATGGTGCCAGTTTGCATAGCATCCTACAATTCAAAGTTCCTACATATACAACACCATATACCTACGATAAACAGCCTGTGGGTACTCTGTGCCATATGCTATAAATAGGCCCATCTCCTTCACCTCATGGGAGCACAATCACTCCAAAGTCAGACTCCTCCGGAGCCACAGAAAGTGGCTAACAGCTAAACAAACAGTTAGGTTTACTATCTAGTGATGGACACCCCTCTGCCACATTACACGGTCAGGCGACACACTTAACACCTATTTAATAGTTCAGCAATGCAGCGTCCCAAGACATTTCTCTGCGTGCAGCCTATTTATTGGACACTCAATCATCACCTCTGTCCAACAAGCCGGCAACTGACCCATGAAGTAGTAATGCTAAACCAAAATCTATGTTACGAACTAGCAGAGGCATGTGTTTTAAAAGGAACAGCTGGCCAAAACCACAACTACATTGATGAGTAATAACATTTTGCACATGTATTTGAACTTTGTATTTAGCGGTTAATCTAGATTTCCACTTTCATACTAAGGGAGAAGAGATTTAGAAAAGCTTGATCGAAAGCAGGGGATGGCTTTACACTATTTTTAATAAGAGGTTAAAAAAATTGGCATGAAATCACTTAGGCTTCACAAGTTTAGAAAGCAGGCCTTGCAGTTCAAACATACTCAATTTATGTCCACCAAGGGTACTGTACGGGTTTCACAGTCTTCTCTTTGAGAGTTTCAGAAGTTGGATGTCACCTCAAGAACACTTCCTTATTTATTTGCTATGTGTCACACAGTTTGACAGAAAAATTATTAATATCTTCACTTAACATCTGCCCTTGGTGAATTTATTTCTTAGCGTTTGTCAGGCAAGTTATATTTTGCTAATCAGATCAGACAACTGAGATCCCCAGCCAATGTAAAGAACTGAAGTACTTTAGTAACAAATTTAGAACAGCTTATACTCTCTTCCAAAAATACAACTATGAACTTGTCAGATTTTTAAGTGTTATATGGAGCTCCGTTATAAGCATTCACCCCCCACTTCCTGTCCTGCTGACACCAGACAGGACAAATATGCAACAGGGACAAAGACAGAAATAAAAAAAACTTACAGGTGTTCTACCCTTATACTCTACTAAAGAAAAGCGTTTTTTTTCTGCCTATGTTGCTGTTGGAGAATTCTCCTTATTTCCGGTCTGGTAAAGCCTCATCAGCAGGACAGGAAGGAAAAATCTCTTTAAAGAAGCCACAGAGAGGCTATAGATACAGCATATGAAGTGAAGGAAAACCTCTAATGGGCCACCGATGGTAATGAAAAAAAAAAAAAATCAAAGTGGTTACTACTTGACTTGTTTTGCTTTTCCATTATGAAATCAGTGCAAGTGCCTGTTAATCATTCAAAATCACTTAATTGTACAAGATGGCAGATTATTCTGCTAGTGCACCCTCTTACCACAATCACAATAGAGCACCCCCAATTATGCTGCCACTGCCAATGTTCCGCCAAAAAGGGTGAAAGATTCAAGAGGAGGTGGCACAAAGCAGAATGTTCCCCTTGTTCTGCACTGTCAAAGGCGCTAATGTAAAAATCACTGCCGCGTACAAGTCAGCCAAGTTGTAAAAAGCTTCTTTGATTATTTTCAACCATGTGAAACAATGACATAATGTTCCTACCTGCAGCCAGGAGAACAACTTACACTTAAACGGTGATTGTTCCATTCTGCGGAACAAAGAACAAGCTTATAGATCTTCCAGAAAAATCGCTCAAGTGGCAGCTTTTCTGCCTGCAGTCTCATAAGGGTTCACATTCGTATTCCATCCACACTAACCAACAAACACAGCTGTAAATGTTGTGCCTTTCACCCCAGTGTGCTGGTAACAACTGTTTTGTGATCTGACCAAGGCAACAAAAATGTGGCTGAGGTTCTTGGGTAAGGTTACTGCATTCCTTAGCTCACCCTGGGAAGTACTTTGTCCAACAACCACTTCCTACTATGTATGGTTGATTTCAGATTGTGGGCCGGCACTTTGCTTCAGCCATGTCTGTGTATAAGTACAAATAAGAACCCTTTCTGAAACACCCCTTCAATAGTGTTAAAAATGCATTGTTTACAACGCAAGCAAGATATCTGATAGTGTTGCAAATTATTTGCTGATCCATGGCTGTTTTAATTAAAATGATTTAAATTATGCTCCGGCAATACCTTACCTGGCACCTTCAGTTCAGGGAGGCAAGTCAGGCTTCCCTACAAATGAGTATAATAGCAAATATCTAGCAGCAAGCATCCCCCTTACAGCAGGCAGTAAAAGATGAACCGAGCCAAATGGCTGAACAGACACGATGGGCTCAAGGATGATCTCAAGTGTTACAGCTGGTAGAACTGTCTGGACTGTACCTGTGCTGAATCGTGTACCTTTTTTACCATTGAATTTTAATTTTTAAACTGAAATGC